CTGAACTCTGGGCCTGGGCGCTGTCCCTCAGCTCTTCAGCTCGAGGCTAGTGCTCTACCACTTGAGCCACAGCACCACTTCTGGCTTTTTTTCCTTTTTGCTTATGTGGTGCTGAGGAATCGAACCCAGGGCCTCATGCGTGCAAGGCAAGCACTCTACCACAGAGCCACCTTCCCAGCCCTCACCCTTAGTATTTCTAAGACTGGTGCTCTACCACTTGAGGCCCAGCTCTACTTCTGACTTTTTGCTGGTTAATTAAAGAGTCCCATGAATTTGTCTGCTCAGGCTGGTTTTGAACCAGCATCCTCAGATCTCAGCCTGCTAAGTAGTTAGGATTACAGGTGTAAGCCACCAACATTCGGCTCTTAGTTCTCTTCTTTAACAAATGTCTTTCCTCTCAGGGGCTGAAAATGTACTGAAGCGCATGACCATCATTGGAGTGATCCTCAGTTTTAGGGCCATGGTCCAAGAAGGACTTCGAGAGGTGAGGAGTGGAATTGGCAAGGATTCCCATTGTCCCTATGGGTAGGCTTTGCATCAGAAGTAGAGGGAAGGACTGGGAAACAGTGAGGAGAAGCAGATGAATAGGGAAGAGGTCCTATGGAGAGGTCAGTTGAGGGACCTGGAGACATCAGAAGACAGTGTTTTTTTTTTTAATTTTTTTATTTTGGTGCAGGTCCTGGGGCTTAAACTTAGGACTTGGGCAATATCCCTGGGCTTTTTTTTTTTCTCTCTCTCTCAAGGCTAGTGTTCTATCATTTGTGCCACAGCTACACTTTTGGCTTGTTAGTGGTTAAATTGGAGATAAGACTCTCACTGACTTTCCAGCCCTTCAAACTATAATCTTCAGATCTCAGCCTCCTGAGTACCTAGGATTATAGGCATGAGCCACCAGTGCCGGGCTCCTTTCTTTGTTTCTTTCTACTTGTTTTTGAAGGTGTTGGATATTGTCCTGTGGACTCAAACATTTTCTCTCTTTCCAGGTTTTCTCCTCTCACTGCCCATTTCTTATGGGCCCCATTGAGTGCCTGAAGGAGTTTGTCACTCCAGACACAGACATGAAGGTATGGGGTACAAAGTGGGATCAGGTTAGGAGATTTGTTGTGGAAAATTTATGTCACTGAAACCATGTAAAGGAGACAGAACTCTGAAAAACTCTGCAGGAAGTTGGGCACTTGGTGGCTCACTTCTGTAATCCTAAAACATGTAATCCCAGAAGGCTAAATTATGAAGATTGAGGTTTGAAATCAACCCGAGCAGACAATTTTGAAAGACTCTTATTAACCAGCAAAAAAAATCTGTAACTGAAGGCATGGCTCAAGTGGTAAAGTGCTAGTGCAAGTGCTAGTCAAACACTGAGTGGGGCTGTCTCATGCATGAGTGTGTCTCACGCCTGTAATTCTAGCCACTCAGGAGGCTGAAATCTGAGGTTTGCAGTTTGGAACCAGCCCAGGCAGAAAAGTCTATAAGACTCTTATCTCCAATAAACTACTCAAAAAAGCCAGAAGTGGTGCTGTGGCTCAAGTGGTAGAGTGCCAGCCTTGAGCACAAAGAGGCTCAGGGACAGCACCTAGGCTCTGAGTTCAAGCCCCAAGACCTGCAAAAAAAAATAGAGACAGAAAAAGAAAGGAAGCTGGGAAGCCATAGAGAGTACAAAGAAAAGTGGGGAGCCCTGTGAGGCTTGAGAAAACATTCCTGGATTACAAGGGTTGAGATCTAGGGTAGAATCTGTAAGCTTTCACCCAAAATGAGCACTCAGTACATTAGATGCCAAGTTCTGTGCAAATAGGTCCCCTATTTATAAGATTTGTTCCTTCTATTCCTATCCATTGCCTTCCCACTTTCCTTTCTTTTCCTTATTTTTCCTCAAACTTTCTGGTCCCCTATGTCTGTGTCACCTGTCTTGGGCTCCTTTGCTACAGAAGAGGGATTAAGGGTAAAGGGCTTCTATGGGCAACCTGGGTTGATTGTCCATGCCCCCACGTTTTTGTATGTGTGTGGCAATTCTGGGCTGGATCTCAGGACCTGAACACTCTTCCTATGCTTTTTTGCTCAAGGCTGACACTCTAGTACTTGAGCCATATCTCTACTTCCAGCTTTGTGCTTGTTAACTGGAGATTAGAGCCCCATGGAGTTTTCTGCCCAGGTTGATTTAGGACTAACATCCTCAAATCTCAGCTTCTGGAGTAGCTAGGATTTACAGGCGCGAGCCGCTTGGCACCTGGCCTGCCTTTCTCCACACTTCTATACACACATTTGAGTCAGCCTGTCTTTTAATCATCTGGAGCAAGCAAGCATGTTATAGGAAATGTAGCCAAAGCCTGGAGATAAGATCCTGCCAGTGATGGGCAGGCGACTTCTCTTATGACTGATTCCTTTAAAGGAGAGAGGTCTCGATGCTAGGGACTGGTGAGAAGGAAGAATTAAAGTTAGCTGTTAAGAAGCACCTCCTTCCTTACCCTGGGAATAAAAGAGGTATGAAGTTCACCCCCTCTATCTGCCTGAAACCATCTGAAAATGAGATAATCAGGAGGCCTTGAGGGGCTGTGCTGGTTGGCTGCCCTCTTGAATGGTCTTTGACTTGATGCTGAGCCTGCATTTCTGGCTGCTGCTGCTGTTGAGGCTGAGTGCTCCTGCCTGTCAGGAGCTTGTCTAGCTGACATCTCTTGGACAGCTCCAGTCTTTAGGCTCTGCTTGCCTGTGAAAGTAAGCAGGTGGGGGTAGAGAAAGGGTAGGGATAGCCTATACTTTTGAGTTTCTATTATTGCCTTAGAGGCCTGAGAAAATTAGAAGAATGTCGAGCTCTGGTTGGTCACGCCTGTAATCCTAGCTGTGAAGAAGGCTGAGATCTGAGGATCATGGTTCAAAGCCAGCCTAGGCAGCAAAGTCCATGAAGCTCTTATTTCCAATTGACTACCAAAAGGCCAGAAGTAGAGCTGCAGCTCAGATGGTAGAGTGCCAATCCTGAGAAAGCACGAACAGAGCCCACGCCCTGAGTTCAAGCCTCTAGGACTCGCACATACAAAAAAAAAAATAGATTACAGGGGTTGGAGACAGCTTAGATGGTAGAGTACCCGCCAATGAGTGAAAGTGTCAGATGTGGAGTGCAAGTCCCTGTCTCAGACAAAATAAAGGAATAAAAGAGAAAAAAATAAATTCAGAGAGAAATTAACATCTTTTCAAACATCTCTTTCCATTCTGACCATGACACTGCAGGTCAGGTCCTGGTCCTGGTTCTTGATCTGCTTCACCAAAGGTGGAGCAAACAGAATCATCTGGGTCAGAGGAGATTTGAATCTTGAAGGGCAGGGAAGAAGGTGGCTAAGGTTTGGCTTCTGTTTCAGTATCATGGGCAAATATGTATGGGTGTGGTAATGTCTGTGGGATTCTCTGAGTAGGATGTGCTACTTAGTTGTCCAGTATTGGGACAATTGTCCTTGTTTTCGCTGATCATTTTAGTGTGTGTGTGTGCACATGTGCGTGCATGTGCATGTGTATGCCAGTCCTGGAGCTTCAACTCAAGGCCTGAGCAGTGTCCCCTTAGCTTTTTGCTCAAGGCTGGCACTCTACCAGTTGAGCCACAGCACCACTTCTGGCTCTTTGGTGCTTAATTGGAGATAAGAGTCTTATGCACTTTTCTGCCCAGGCTGACTTGGAATCTTGATCCTCAGATCTCAGCTTCCTGTGTAGCTAGGATTACAGACATGAACCCACCAGTGCCTGGCTATCTACAGTTTCACATATGAGAAAACTGAAGCTTGAAGTGGTTATGTAACTTTTAGCTAAAGTTATTTATTTAATAAGGGGTATTGTTAGGATTTGAAGCCAGATCTGTCTCACTTCAATGCTACCTTCTCCCTTTACTAGGCCATGGTATTAAAACAATTAGAATCTTTTTGATGAAATAAGACTTCTGTCTTGATTCTTCTCTGAAAAGTTAGCCGATATCAAGTGCTAGGTGTGTTCAGTGCTTGGTTGGTGGGACTAGAGATGTGTTTAGTTTGAAGTAATCAAGGGAAGCCAGCACAAAGAGGAGATTTGAATTAAGCTTGAGGAATAAGTAGCAGGGAGCAAAGTACTCTAGAGAGAGGCAAGGGTATGAGCTTAACTATGAGAACAAAGAAAAGAAAAGAAAGAAAAAGGATCTTGGAGACAGTGACTTCGTGGACTGAATTCAACATTTAGGGAAATAAGACTGAAACTAAACTTTTATTATAGAGGATAACGAATACCAAGCTAAATAATTTTCCTCCCTTGCAGGCTAAGGAGAATCTGTGAAAGAAATATCTAGTAAACAAGGGTAACATACTGAGAGTTTCAAATCTATGATTCAGGAATCCTGGCTACTTGTAGCTTCTGCCAACCAATTCTCTCCTGGGATTTTCCTCCAATCTTTTTTTTTTCTTCTTCTTTTTCTACTAGGTGACCCTGAGTGTCTTTGAACTGGCCTCTGCTGCAGGGGTGGGCTGTGACATTGACCCAGCCCTGGTGGCTGCCATTGCCAATTTGAAAGCTGGTAAGATAGGGGAAGAGGATAACGGAAGATTTGTGCCCTATTTTGGGGTGGGAAAATGTTATGTCAAAAAAGGCTTGACTTGAGATTGTGATCCAGAGGATATAACTGGGAAATAAGGAAAGACCTAAACTGTATATCCTAACATCTAGAACATAATCATAGAGGTGATTTAAGTTCCTCTTCAAGTTCCAGTCAACTCATCTACTAATTGGTTAAAAGCTGTTTTAACCAGGCTCATACCTGTAATCCTAGGAATTCAGCCAGGCATAAGACTCTCGTCTCTAATTAACCAGCAAAAAGCTGGAAGGGGAGGTAGTAGAGCACCAGTCTTGAGCCAAAAAGCTAAGGGACATTGCCCAGGCCCTGAGTTCAAATGCCACTACCAGCATAAAAAAAACAAACAAACACCCAGAAAAACAAAAAGTATTTCTGGCCAGGTGCTGTTGGCTCAGGCTTGTAATCCTAGCTACCTAGGAGGCTGAGATCTGAGGAGCAAGGTTCAAAGTCAGCTGGAGCAAAAAAGTTGGTGAGATTTTTTAAAATCTCTGATTAGCTACCAATCCAGAAGTAGAGGTATGGTTCAAGTGGTAGAGTGCTGTCCCAGAGCAAAAAAGCTCAGGCCTGGTCCAAGTGGTAGAGCGCTGGCCTAGAGAAAAGAAGCTCAGGCCTTGAGTTCAATCCCTAGGACTGGCCAAAAACAAACAAACAAAAAGTATTCCTGAGTGAGACACCAGATATACAAGGGAACTTACCTGGTTGGGGAAATAAGATTAATGCAAATGAATCAATGAGAGAGCAAGATAGTATATGATTTCACGCTAAGTTGTATAGTATAGTATCTAAGTTCCCTAGAATGATCCTGTGCTCCTCCCTCCCACATAACACTTTGACACTCTCTGATCCTTCTCCAGGCTCAACTTGTCTCTTCTAAGTTCCCTTACACATTTCTCCTCATTAGCATATTCATACTTATACATATCCAAAAGATGATAGAACTCAGTGGCTGGTTAAAACCTTCAGAATTGCCAGATTCACGTTTTTTTTTTTTTTCTCCCTACTTGGTTAGTGAGAAGCCTTTCAATCCTTCACCTCTCCATTCCTTTGGGCAGCTGACAGGTGTCCTAGGACTGTACATCAGCAGAGGTCTTGGCTAGGAGTTTTGCCCTCCAGGACTCAGGTGCTCAATATAAATATATGCTAGTCCTGCCACCTCTAGAAATAAGAACTTGTTATAGTACTTGATAAAGCATTTTATCATTTAGTAATAATTCTGCAGAATAAGACTCCTGCAGAAGGTAATTCCTGTTCATCGGCCTCTTCCTCCTCCTCCTCTTCCTTGTTACTATTATTATTATTTTACTGTGCCAGTACTTGGGCTTGAATTTAGGGCCTTGAAATCATACTTTTTTTGCTTAAGGCTGGTGCTCTACCACTCCTCCACTTCCAGCCTTTTTATGCTTAATTGGAAATAAGGGTCTCCTGGACCTTTCTGCCTGGGCTGACTTTTTTTTTTTTAATTTTTTTTTAAATTTTTTTTTATTTTATTTGTGAAAATACTGTACAGAGGGGTTACAATTGCATGGGCAGGATAATGCGTACATTTCTTACCAAGCATTGCAGCCTCCTCCTTTGTTTACCCTTCACATCACTTCCCAGCCTCCCCCCCTCCCCCCATCCCAATCCTTGTCCTTCCCCCCCCCCCCCCCCCCCCCCCCACCGACGTTGTAAAGTTCGTTTTGGACATGACAACTAGTACTTCTCATTGTTGCATCAGGTCCACCTGTATCCTTAAACAACTGGTTTTTCCCCATCTCCTCCACAAGTTATACTGACATCAAATATAGTGAAAGCAGGGGTTATACTATGGGGGAGGGACATACAAAGCAACAAAGAGATAATCTTATAAATTCGTTAGAAACACATGCATGAAAGAAAAAACATTAAAATACATATCTAAGGGTTCATTTTCCTGACATCACATTATCTGACCTTTTCCGCTTGACTCATACATATACTAGATATTGCAAATAAGGGAAACCATGGGACCTATGTTTCTTTGGGCTTGGCTTACTTCACTTAATATAATTTTTTCCAAGTTTTTCCATGGGGCAATGTCAATCTTTCTGATGGAGGCATAGAATTCCATTGTGTATATATACCACATTTTCTTGATCCATTCATCTACTGAGGGGCATCTGGGTTGGTTCCATTACAGGATGGAATAGGAGAAAGCCTAGGTCTCCTTGGCTCAGGCCGAAATTTTTTGAATCGAGACCCAGAAACACAACAAATCAAAGAAAGGTTGGACAAATGGGACTGCATAAAGTTGCAGAGCTTCTGCAGGGCAAATGACATAGCTAGCAAGATCAATAGAAAGCCCACGGATTGGGAGAAGATCTTTACTAGCCATACAACAGACAAGGGTCTCATATCTAAAATATACTTGGAACTCAAAAAATTAAACCCCCCAACAACAAATCCTCAAAGAAACAACTGCCCAATAAATAAGTGGGCGAAAGACTTAAAGAGAAACTTCTCTGAAGAAGAAAGAAGGATGGCCAATAGACACATGAAGAAATGTTCAACATCCCTAGCCATAAAAGAAATGCAAATCAAAACAACATTGAGATATCACCTCACCCCAGATAGAATGGCAAAAATCAAGAACTCTAATAACAACAGATGCTGGAGGGGATGTGGCCGGAGGGGACCTTTCTTGCTTTTTTGTGGGAATGTAAACTAGTCCAACCACTTTGGAAAGCAGTATGGAGGTTCCTCAAAAGACTTCACATAGAACTCCCCTACGACCCAGCAATCCCACTTTTGGGCATTTACCCAAATGCTTACAAACAAGACCACACTAAAGCTACCAGCACAACTATGTTTATTGCAGCATTATTTACCATAGCTAAGATATGGAACCAACCCAGATGCCTGGGCTGACTTTGGAATGGAATTTTCAGCTTTCAGTCTCCCGAGTAGCTAGGATTACAGGCAGGAGCCACTGCTAACTAGCTGACCTTCCCTCATTTTCCCCCTTTTCCTGTTTCCCTCTCCCCAGACAGCTCCTCTCCTGAAGAAGAGTATAAAGTGGCCTGCCTGCTGTTAATCTTTGTTGCTGTTTCCCTCCCACTCCTTGCTACTGACCCTTCTTCTTTCTACAACATTGAGAAGGATGGTAAGAAAGGAGCAGGCTGAGAGACCAGTGTTCTTTCAGCATCTCCTGGGGGGGATGGTGGGGGAGAATGGGTTCATGACACCTGGAACTTGTGATTCACCCATAAATTCTGTTTCTAAAAAACCACTTGAGAATGATCTACGAGTAAAATTCAATTCCAGTAAAATGTCATAGGAATATTCTTCCTCTAATCTCCAAATGTCATCTAATTCTTTTAGTGTTTAAATAGGGGTGGCCCAGACTGAAAAAAAAATTAATTACTAAGTGGGATCAGCCTACAGTGTCCCCCTTGGTCATTTCCTAAATCTCTTCACCTCTCTCTTTATAATAACCTAGGTTACAACAACAATATCCACTGCTTAACTAAAGCCATCATCCAGGTGTCAGCTGCCCTCTTCACGCTGTATAACAAGAACATTGAAACTCACCTAAAGGAATTTCTGGTGGTGAGTGGTTCTAGATGTATAAGGGATAGAAGATTTCAAAGGGCTGGAATTAGTTTGACTTAAATCCTTTTTAAGTCAATGAGCTTTGGAGTCTAACCTCCCACCTAATTCATTCAGTAAACAGTGAGAGGCTACTTTGTGGAAAGGCAGGAGCTTATTCTAAATTCCCTGACAGCTGGTGTTTGAGTCTCTGCTGAAATGCTTGGAAAGATCATTGGACAAAGAAATGAGAAAAATCTGACAGGCGCCTGGGCTCATACCTATAATCCTAGCTACTCAGGAAGCTGGGATCTGAGGAGCGATGTTCAAAGCCAGCCCAGGCAGGAGTCTTCAATTAAAGAGCAAAAAAGCTGGACGTGGAAGTGTAACTTAAGTGTTAGAGCACTAGCTTTGCACAAAAAAAGCTCAGGAACAGCATCCAAGCCCTGGGTTCAAGCCCTATTCTGGCACGGGGGACGGGGGGGGGGGGGGGGGGGGAGGAGAAGGGGGGGAAGAGAGAAACAGAGAGAGGCAGAGAAAGAGAGGGAGAGAGAGAGGTAGGGAGGGAGGGAAAGAGGAAGGGAGAGAGAGAAGAAAAAAGAAAAATCTGAGTTTTGCCACTATGAACCTGTATGATCTCTGGAGAGTCAAACTTGGAGCCTCAGTTTTCTCACTTATAAATGAGGGAGATTAAACTTAATTCATGATTCATCATTTTGATGTGCATCAGAATGTACTGGAGAGCTTGTTAAAATAGACTCCTGATCTTTACCCCAGACCTGCTGAATTAGAATCCATGTTTCTGACTTAGCCTCCACAGTATCAGCTGTACGTTAAAGTTAAAGAGACACTGAATTTTATAATCTATAAGGACCTTTGCCGGGCACTGGTGGCTCATATCTGTAATCCTAGCTACTCAGGAGGCTGAGATCTGAGGATCGAGGTTCGAAGCCAGCTCCGGCAGAGAAGTCTCCCATGAGACTCTTATCTCCAATTAACCAATCAAAACCCAGAAGTGGTGCTGTGGCTCAAAGTGGTGGAGCATAGGCCTTGAGCAGAAGAGCTCAGGGCTAGTGCCCAGATACCTAGTTCAAACCCCACAACCACCAAAAAAAAAAAAAAAAAAAAAAAGCATATTTCCAACTCTATGCTGAGTCAATGACCAGTTTTCAAACTTTCTGGTAAATCAGAATCTCTTGGGGAATTAATATTGGTTTGCATTTCCAACAAGTTCCCAGTTAATAATGCTCTTTGTATCTTGGGATCTTAGCTTTAAGGACTTAGGACTGGAGTTTACAGTCAGCTAGTCAGCCCATTTCACTGTAGAATATGTCTGTTTGAACAAATGGTTTAAAAATGGTTTTTAGCTGAAGTTTGACTCCCTGTAACTATCACCATTGATCTTAGTCTTGCCTCTGGAAAAACATAGAATAAAAAATATATCCTTCCATAGTTGAAAGAGGCCATACAGTTTTCATTGTAAATCCTCCATAGAGCAATCCTGACAATACACTTCTGACATAGGGTCTATTGCCCAGTGCCTGCTCAGCAATTGGGACCGGATTCCTTTGTAAAGCTGATTCTCATTTTCCTCCCTCCAGAAAGGAATAGTAGATTACATTGTTCTTTCAGATTGTTATACCCTGATTCTATCAGGGATAGTATTGTTGCTGTGGGTTGGTGAAAAGTATCTATTGGCTCTGAATAGCTTAAACATTAAGGAAGCCTCATACCAGATCTCTAAGATGGTGTGAGAAGAGACATTTTACTCCTTTCCCTTTAAGCTCATTTGTTTGCTAAATGCAGGTAACCTGGGCCTGGAATATGACTCACATTTCTTCTTCTCTCTTTGATCTGTTGGGGGCCTGGAGGTGAATGGAGATGACAGCCACTTGGGAGTTGACAGGAGGAGAATACCAAGAGCACTGTGTCTGAATCAGAGGCCCAGCTCTGGCTCTAAGTGGAGTGAGGAGTCAGCTGTAAACAGCTTATGACAGGGGTGCCTGGAGGCTGCCTAGGAAAAAAGAGATTAATCTCCTGGCACACAGTATCACCAGCCTTTGTTCTAGTTTTTGTTTTTTTTTCCCCTACCCCTTGTGACCTGGGCAGAATCTCGTCTTCACTGGCAGGCCAGTTGGAACCAGGCTGGTTTGTAGGCTATGTATGCGTCTGAAACCTACGGGACTTGCCACTTTGTCACCCTGGGAGTCTTCACAAGTGAACCGCTGAGCACTTCTTAACTCCTCCTTAATCTTTTCTGAACTTTCTGTAGCCTGAGGCTGTCCTATTCTGACCTCCATAAAAATCTGCTTCTTTATAAATGCTTCCCTTACAGGTGGCCTCTGTCAGCCTTTTGCAGCTGGGCCAGGAGACTGACAAGCTTAAGACCAGAAATCGGGAATCCATTTCTCTGCTCATGCGCCTGGTATGTATCTTGTTTAAGCTGATCTGGGAAAGAGAGGAGAGGAGAGCAGGAGACTCCTTTTTAGGGTCTTTGGGTCTCTGCCATCATCATCACTTAAAAGTACTAACTAGGGACTTAATTCTGCCTCATCTTCTGTCCTTCTCTTGCCGAACATTTTAGATGTTTCTAAAGAAAACATTTAGACTTGTTCTAGAATCCCAGAGTAGAGTGTTTAATGACTGCTTTGCGGGACTTCTCTGAAGGATGGGAAGGGGACAGCTGTGTCCGTATTTGTGACTGCCTGTCCAGCATGCATTTGGTTTTACTTGACAGCTTCCTACCCCTATATTTCTTATCTTTAAAGGTACTCTGAAGAGAGTACTGGACAGCATGGAGTAGTACTGGAAAGGTTTGGAGGCGGGGCTCCCAAGAGGGAAGTGATTTTAGCTATAGGGCACAGAGGCTGGTGGGTCAAGAATTAAGCAGTTTCTGAGATCTCTCCTCTTTGCTTCCCAACCTATGGGCTTGTCTCTGCTTTGGCAGAAAGTTCCGGGAATTCTGACTCAGCTGACTTTTAAACCTTTTCCCCATCATGATCCTGTTTCCTTCTTCACTGGCTTACTCACTCCTGATCTGAGCCTGAGTCTTCAGGTTGGGACCACATTTAGATGTGGACAGAAGATGCTCCTGCCCTGGGCTCATTTTGGAGGTTCTCTTCTTGCAGTCCTCTGGTGTAGAGTCAAGGATATGCCCACCGGGAGCCTGTGTCCTACCTCAATACCGCATTACTAGATATTGGAGGTCCTACTATTCTCCTGCCACCTGCCACAATTCTCACCAGGCCACTTTTGCAGGCCCGGTGCGGAACTTCTTCCCCAAGTCCATTCTACAAAGACAGATCAGTGTCAGAGGATATGTGGCTGGAGTTTAGATGTGCAAGCAGGGAAATCCATATGTGCATACGAAACCCCTCAAAGTAGGAGTGAGATGAGAAGGGGTCTGAGCTAAAGCTAGTTTCCTCTTTTATCTTCTTTTGGTGCTGATCTATGAGTCGTCTAAGAATTCTTAATTTAGACCCAAGTTTCTATGAAATTACAAAGGTTGAAAGATAGAACCTTATGGTTTAATCTCTCTCTCTCTCTCTTTCATTCCCTCTCTCTCTTAAGTCACATGAGATATAGACCTCCATTTTTATTCTTGGCCGAGGGCCCAGAAATGTTAGACTCCCTAACATGTTGGGATTCCCTCCAGGTCCCCCTTCTAATAAATATTCTGGCCTGATTGGTATCTATGGCTCAGTTTCTCGAGCTAGAAAATGACCTGGGCTGATTAAGGATTAAGATAGAGGAGAGGCTGAGCGCTGGTGCTTACATGAGGTCTGAGGATCACAGTTCGAAGCCATCCTGGGCAGTAAAGTCTGTGAGACTCTTATCTCCTATTAATGACCAAAAATATTATCTTCAACTAACTACCACAAATGTCTGGAAGTGGAGCTGTGGCTCAAGTAGTAGAGTGCTACGCTTGAGCATAAAAGCTCAGGGACAGTGCCCAGTACCTGCAAAAAAAGAAAAAGAAAAAAAAGAAGAGATGGAGGAGAGGATGGAGACATAGTATGGATCTATGCCTGTATGTATGTGTATGTATGTGTGGAGGAGTTATGTGATGAGGGTTTGGGGGCTGAGTATATACATGAGAATAGAAGGAGGGCAGATGCCAGAAGTGGGCCAGGTGGAGAACAACGTTTGGACCAGCGTTTTATAATTGTGTAAAGGGGAAAGGGTGACTTGATTGTTTTTTGAGAGAGAGAAGAGATTACTCTGTAGCCAAGGCTGAACGCAACCTCATTATCCTCCCACCTCAGCCTTCCGATGCTGGGATTACAGGTGCATGCACCACTATACCATGTTCTTTATCCACATAGGTGGAGTGATTAGAATTAATGAGACAGTATGTATGAAAGTGCATGGTTTACTTGATCTTAGCCTAACAGTAGATGTAGTAGTACCCATTGTCTATCAATCCTTTTTCTGGATGATTTAGACATTGCCTTCCTTTTCTTTCTTTCTTCCTTCCTTTCTCTCTCTCTCTCTTTCTTTCTTTCTTTCTCTTTCTTTCTTTCCTTTGCCTTGCCTTCCTCCTTTTCTCTCTCCTTCCTCCCTTCTCTCTCTCTCTCTCTCTCTCCCTCTCCTTCCCTCCCTCTCCTCTCTTCTCCTCTTCTGCCTTTTCTGCACACATTGGGGCTTGAACTCAAGGACAGGGCTCTTGCTTAGCTTTTTCTCTCAAGGCTAGTGCTCTACCACTTGAGCCACACCTGTACTTGTACTTTTTGCTAGTTTATTGGAAATAAGAGTCTCACGGACTTTCCTACCCTGGTCAGTTTTGAACCATAGATCCTCAGATTTCAGCCTCCTGAGTAGCTAGTTTACAGGCAAAGGACCCCCACTCCAGGCCCCCACTTTCCAGTGCCCCGCTACCATTTAGGCAACTTTTACCTCTGGTAATTCTTTTTTTTTTTTTGGTCGGTCGTGGGGCCTGAACTCTGGGCCTGGGTGCTGTCCCTCAGCTCTTCAGCTCAAGGCTGGTGCTCTACACTTGAGCCACAACACCACTTCTGGCTTTTTCTGCTTATGTGGTACTGAGGAATTGAACCCAGGGCCTCATTCATGCAAGGCAAGCACTCTACCACTGAGCCACCTTCCCAGCCCACCTAGGGTAATTTGAACTGCCATTCAACTCCAGTCCCTCTGCTTTGACTGCCACCCCAACCTCAGCTGTAAGGTATGAGAAAGTATCTGCCCTGAGGGCCTTCACATAGGCCTGCAGAGGTAGAAGCAGAGGTAGGAGGTGAAGATTAGAGGGACTAGCTGCTACAAAGCAATTTAAATGCAAATATTTTCACACAGAAATTGGAAATGGCTGGAGGGGAAGAAGCTGTATTCTGAGTTAAAAGTCTATTTGTCTAGCCCTAAATTCTGGCCGGCACTTATCTCCCTGGGGTTGGGTGGGGGAGTCTTCCTATCTTTTCTGTCAAGCTTAGGCAGTGTCAATTGCAATGTTGCCAACCTGTTCCTGGCATGAGTTCCCTAGGAGAATTGGCTCTCTCAGAGGACCATGCACTCTTTTCTTTTCTTTTTCTTTTTTTGTGCGGTGCTGGTATTAGAATTTGAACTCACTTGTTACTTTTTTTTTTTCTTTCAAGGCTAGCACTCCACCACTTGAGCCACATCTCCACTTCCAGCTTTTTGATAGTTAATTGGAAATAAGAGTCTCATGGAGTTTCCTGCTCTTTCTGCCTGGACTGGCTTTGAACCAGAATCCTCATATCTCAGCTTCCTGAGTAGCTAAGATTACAGGCATGAGCCATTGGCACCTGGCAGGGTAGTGCACACTTTGATATGAGAGTCATACTTGATCCTGACACTTAGTCCAGTACTTCCAATTTATTGGAACCTTACGAAAAGAGAGGGGAGATGAGATACAACTCAAGGTCTCTAAGTTATATGAGTAGATTTGGAACCAGAACCTAAGTTGTTCCCCCTGCCCCCTCCTCCTCCACCATCATTACCTCCTCCTCCTCCTCCTCCTTGACTTGAACTCAGGGCCTGGGCTCTGTCCCTTAGCTTTTATGCTCAAGGCTAACACTCTACTACTTGAGCCACAGATATATTTCCAGTGTTTTTCTGATTAATCAGAGTCTCACAGATTTGTCTGCTTAGACTAACATCCAACCTCAGTCCTCAGATCTCAGCCTCCTGAGTAGCAATGATTACAGAAATGAGCCATGGGCACCTGGCCTCAGAACCTAAGGTTTTTGGCCTCTACTCAAGTATCATTTCTATTACCATAAACTTCTGCAAGTTAGGAGCCCTTGAGACTTGGTGGAGAATAGGAAATCAGGGCTGTGGGTCCTTTCTGAAATCATCCCTCATTTCCCTGAACCTGCATGTAGAGGAGCTGTGAGTAAGGAGGCTTGGGGCTGAGCAAGGAGCTTTGTCACCAAAGCTTAGCTTTAGGTTTGCTGGCAGATTTCCTTTCTTTCCAGGCTGCAGTATCTGCTCCTCTGAGGCCAATGTGTGTATTGAATGTGCATGTATTTGAGAACAGCAAAATATTACTAGTGTAAAACTTGAAGGGACTTCAGAGAGAGACATAACAAAAACATGTTCAAGTAGGTAGGATCGATTCTCTTTCCTTAGTGGATTTTTCCAACTTGAAATACCTGACATCACTGGGGAAGCTATCTATGGGAATGCTCAGAGGATGTAATCTTTCCCTCTGGAGCAGTTTTTGTCCTGTAACCTTTTGGGGTGAGATACTGAAGGATAGGAAATACACCCTGTTTCTTTCTCAGATATGGAGACGACCCTCCCCCCACTCCCCGCCCTGTACTGGTTTATGCTGCTTTGTCCTCTTCACATCCCTACTCTTAGTCTTACTAAGGCATCCTGATTTCTCTTCCCGCTTGGCTGTGGGAGCTGCTGGGTTTACCATAGAACACAAGCTTCTAATTAAACTAATTAATCATGCCTGCTCCTTTATGTACCATCCTTACTGTTCCCCAAGTGTTGTACTGAGAGAGGGAGGAGCTGGAGGCCCAGTGCAAGAGGGCTCTTGTGGATTCCAGACCTCTCTTCCTTGGCCTGCAGTGGCGATTGTTTCTCTGGCTGCAGAGCTGTGTAATTAGCTCCTCTCTCCATCTTTACCTACATCTGTGCTTCACTCTCATGTATGATTTAGTATCCAGAGCAGGAGAGAATTGGGTTGCCTGGCTGTTAGAACAGTGGTGTTATTATTATCTATATTCTTTCTATTTCTAATTCTGTGTCCTTCATATTAGCTTTGACAAAGTGGATAGGGTCCATTGTCATTGTCTTCTAGGAGCCACATCAGGGGAAGGAGGGAGTGAGAACTGGGACTTGGGAGCCCTGAGCACTTATTACACTTTCTAAGGGCTGGAGAGAGTCCAGGAACTGCATGAAGAGGAGCTGAGTTATTACAGATTTGTGTCCTACTGGAACTTCTCATCTCTTGGTGCTGTCTGTTCCAGGTGGTGGAGGAATCATCCTTCCTGACCCTTGACATGCTGGAGTCCTGTTTTCCTTATGTCCTGCTACGAAATGCCTATAGGGAGGTATCTCGGGCCTTCTACCTGAACCGGGTGCCGGCCATTCCCCACTGAAGGGCCCACCTTGGACCTACCTACCTAGACCTACGCCTGAATAGAAGCTATGATCATTTTCCTCAAAGGGGATGGGGGTGGGGTGGGCCACTAAGGAGAGGGAGAAGAAGAGAGGGAGAGGGAGAGGGAGGAAGGGAGGGAGGGAGGAGAGAGACAGAGAGAGGGAGAGAGAGAGAGGTAGAGAGAGGGGGAGGAGGAAAGGGAGAGGGAGGGGGAGAGGGAAAGGGAAGAGCCAGGAGCTACAGCTGATGACCAGTTATATGGTAGCACAATCCAGGGCTGAGAAAGGGTAGAGAAGTAGGGAAGGCCAGGGCCATGGAGGATAGTTCATGGATGGGCCACATTTGTGAATTTTTACCATGAAAAAAACTGAGTGACCTATAAACGTATTTCTCTGGTGACTAGAGCTTGAGCTCTGATAGGCATGGGTCTCTCCGACCTTCATCACTATTCTAGGATAATGCTGGCGGGCAGAGATGATCAATCATCATATTAAACCATAATGAGCTTATAATCCTCCCTCTGGAGCTGCTATTGTCTCCTGCACATTCATTAGGACGATTATCTCCTCTCTTCCTTTTCCAAATGTGTTCAGCAAACATTCAGCCTGCTTCTACTGCAGAAAACCTGCAAAAGGACCCCTCTTCTCCTTTATGGGGCTCATCTGGTACCTCCAACTTGACTACACTTCCCACAGGGGCAGGGAGGAAGTGCCCACTGTAGAGTTTAACTGTCCACCTGTTCTCCTGCCCTGTGTGGGTAATGAGTGTGTTCAATGAGTGTGTGCTCTCACTTGCCTGCCTTTTTGTTGCTTGTGTCTGTTGCTTGAACTCAGGGTCTGGGTGCTGCCCCTGAGCTTTTTTGCTCAAGGCTAGTGCTCTCCCACTTGAGCCACATTTCTAGTTCTGGCTTTTTGCTGGTTAACTGGAGATAAGAGTCTCCAAGACTTTCCTGCCTGCATTGGCTTTGAACCGAGATCCTCAGATTGCAGCCTCCTGAGTGGCTGGGATTATAGGCACAAACTAGCAATGCCAACTCCCTTCTCTTTGAGCAAAGTGGCAGTCTAAAGCAATCCTAGTGATGTGGCCCAGATTCATATGGACTTTCCCTCCTACCATATTTGGGGGTACACTTCTCTCCTGTTTGGAGGGAGTATTTTAACCCCCAATCCCCTTGTCAGCCTGAGTACAGCTGTTGCTCCAGGCAGGGATTTCTCTGGTAGATCTTAAATTTCACAAACCTCATTAGGTTGTAGGGCCCTGGGAGTAGGTGTTCTTGAGGGAGTACAAGCTGTTTCAACTTAACCCTTTTCTGCACTAATTAGAATTTCAAGTGTCACAGAGCCTGGGGCATTGAGATAGCACTAAACTAGGTTTAGTTAACTCTGTGGCAGGAAACAGTGGTCCCATCCGTCACTCTTCTCTCCACAGCCAGGGTGGACCAGAGCAACAGATTATGTGTGTCATAGGTTCAAAGTGGTCAGAATGGGCAAATATAATTAGCTAGTTGATTAATTAAGGTCAGGTCTGTACTTTCATGATGAAAAGGAAGTCATTCTTGGCTTTCTGCAAAACCATCCGGTCCTCATTAAACTAATTTGATAGCTGTTTGGGTGGGTTTTTCTCCCCCCTCCCTCTCTCTCTGTATTTTTCCAGACCTTGGATTAGTTACTACTTTCTTGACTTGGCACCCATAATCAACACACGTTTTCTTCTTAGCAACAACTGTCTGGATAGAAGCAACAGTGAATCTGGCTTCATGCTTCAGCTAATCGTCCTTCCTAGCTATGGAAAGGACATGACGTTCTAAGGAGTGATTCAGTGTCAGGCCTCCTGAGACCAAAGCTTGCTAGTGCATTCGATCAGGAAGAGAAGGCTTAGAAGGATCTGATCAGCGACCCACCACTCTTTCTTTCTCTTAAGTCAGTGTCTTGTTGAAATAGCTCAGGCTGGCCTTTAGTGGACAATCCTATTGCCTCAGTCTCCTGAGTGCTGGAATAAGAATTGTGTACCACTACACTCAGCTGATCCTACACCCTTGTATCTTCTGCTTGGTTCTACTTCTTCCATATGTGTGGGGAACTACTCACATTCACCCTTCCAGCAAATAAGACAAGTTATGCAGGGGGATGGAGTGGTAGACATATTCTTTTCTTATAGTTTATTTGGTTTGAGATGAAGTCTTCGGTTGCCTAGGCTGGTCTCGAACTCATGAGTTAAAAAGTGATCCTCTTGCCCTAGCATTCTGGATAGTTGGAGCTACAAGCATGAACCATCATGTCTGACTGATAACCTTTATTGAGATATTTAACTCACACTTGTAAGGAATAATACAGAAAGATTTATAATTTTCAGTTTCCATCAATGGAAGCATCTCACAGAACCATAGTACACGATCACAAGTAGGAGAGAGATATTGATATAATCCACTGATCTTCAGATGTCCCAGTTTTACTGATACTCGTCTCACTGCTCATGTGTTTTTAGCTCTGTGCAGGTTTGTAGATTTATGTATGTTATCACCACACTCAAGAGACAGAGCAGTTACATTGTCACAGGGACCCCATACCCAAGTCTCTCCTCCAACCCCCTTCTCCTAAATGTTGTGACTTGATATAATGTGTTTTCATAAGCATGTAATCATACACACATATTTACCTGCCACCACTTATACTTTTCCAAAATGTTATTTCCATTTTTAATAGTAATTCTGTAAGATAGCCTGGGAAAGCCTTTTTATTTCAGGTTAGGAAACCAGCTCAGTGACATTAATTAAATGAGTTAATGAAAATCACATGGTTAGCAGGAAAACTAGAACTAGGATCCAAGTGGATCCTAGATTTTCTACTTGACTGGGAAAGAAAAAGACTATTTTTTTTTGCTGGTGGGAGGGGGCAGGGGGGATTGCTGGTACTGGAGCTTGAACTCAGGGCCTAGTGGCCTTGATTCACTTTTTGTTCAAGGTTGGTACTCTACCACTTGACCCATATATCCACTTCTGGCTTTTTGCTGGTTAAGTGGAGTTAAGACTCTCATGGACTTTTCTGCCCAGGTTAGATTCAAATCTTGATCATAAGATCTCAGCCTCCTGAGTAGCTAGGACTATAGGTATGAGTTACCTCTGCCTGATGAGACTGCCTATTTATAAAAGAAGAGGTGATGAGGGTTCAGACAGCTTTTACCACTTAGGACAGAAGGTGGACACAGAGAGAATGGACGGATGAGATAACAAGGGCCCATCTGTACTTCCAGTAACTTCACCTCCTGGTCAAGGATCCAAGACTTCTTGCAGCCTGGACATAATCAGTTATGAACTGTTTTGCTCTCAGACTCCCCCATCTTTGTTTAGTGCCCCTCCCCTCTCAAACAAACAAACAACCTGAGGAAGCTGGACACACACACAAACACACACACACACACACACACACACAGCAACACCTCAATCTCAACAGGCTCCCCTATACCTGGAATTCTACTTCTGCAGCTCTCCCATTTCCTGAAGCTCCATAGTCTTCATAAATGGGCCCCTTTACCTGGCACCGGTTGCTTACACCTGTAAGCCTTGCTACTCAGGAGGCTGAGATTTGAGGATCCCCATTCAAAGCCAGCCTGGGTAGGAAAGTCCATGAGACACTTATCTCCAATTAACCATCAGAAAACCGGAAGTGATGCTGTGGCTCCAGTGGTAGAGCACTAGCCTTGAACTGAAGAGCTCAGGGACAGTGCCCAGACCTGGAGTTCAAGCCCCACGAACAACAACAACAACAAAAAGAAACAAAACAAAAAAACAAAACCTGAGTAATGAGTAACTGGAGAAATTGTGACCCTGATTGCTTTGTCTTGTTGGCAGAGAATAGGTTCTAGCCTCAGCATTTTCATTAGTGCAGTGTTTTCATTAAAGTCTCCATTAACTCACTTGCAGCAGTGAGATGGAATTATCCCTCCCACCAGGCCAGGGAGAGGTGCTTGCCAAGACACTATTTCCCTTGGTCAGTAGAAAGACATTGCCTCTTCTGCTATGATGTTTCATCCAGTGGGAAAGTGATGTTTTACCCAAGGCAGCCTCAAGGCTTTGTTAAGGTGTGTGGGGGCAGGGAGGGGGGGACCTAATCCTTCTCGGCATATAGCCTTGTGGGAAAGGAACAATTCCAATTTGAGCTCTAGGACCTAGAAGGGAGGCAAAGCGGTCCCAGCTAGACACAGCCTTCTAAAGCTGAACAGTGCCTCTGTTCTTCTCTAACAAAGTTTGACTTGGAGACACAGCCTAGCACATGGCTGAAATGTACTCACGTTGTTGGGGGAAGAATGTTCTTCCCATTCCTCCTCCCCCTAAGGCCTCCTGCTTCTCCTGAGTACCTGTCATCAAAAGGAGAGGAAGATGAGTTCCCCCTCAGCCCCCACACCTCACTGGGTTGTCAAGTGTTCTCCCTCCCACCCGAACAGGAAGCAGGAACAGCAGGGCCAGGTTGCAGGTTGGGGAAGGCAGAAGTTAACTTGAGCTGAGTTTGCAGCCTCAGAGAGATTGAGGAGCAGGCTTTTCTCTTGTCACTTTGGAAGGAGAGGATTGTGGGGCTGCCCCTTTAAATAGCATTCCCGTAGGAGGCAGATCACATCTATCTGTCACCTGCTGCCAAAGCATCATTTTGGGGGGGGGCTCTATCAAACTTGGAGCTTGTTGGAAGAGATCATGGGGTTAAGGGAATGAGGAGGCAGGGATTCAAAGAGGGGGCAGAGGCAGTTCAGACATGAAAAGGAGAGGAATAAGGTTGGACAGAAGGAACCTGGGGAAGGTGGAGGTGGAGAACCAGAGAGGAAAAGAGAGAAGAATGGCTGTCTTTCCAGTCTGTGAATGGAACAAATATATCCCACTCTTATCTCTTTAGAGGTTGGGTAAAGCAGAAATAGGAATGGATTGCAACAAGAGGAATGAGGTTGAGGTTTGTCTCTAGGACTGGTGACTAAAGGATGTGAAAAAGCCACAGAATGGAAAATGCACTAGAAGGGACTTGGCTCTGGCTTTGTGGCTGACTGTGGAGGATTATATTTGTGTATGTGTGTGTGTGTGTATACACATTGGGCCTTGAATTCTTCCTTAGCTTTTTTGCTTAAGGTTGGTGCTCTCTCACTTGAGCTGTATCTCCACTTCCTGAATTTTGGTTAACTTGAGATAGTCTCATATATTTTTCTGGATTTGAACTGCCATCCTTAGAGCTCAGCCTTCTGAGTAGCCAGGGTTATAGGAGAGAGCCACTGGCGTCTGGCAAGGGACTGTTTTTTTCCTGGGCTTAGTTTTCCCACTTGCTAACTGGCTGCAATTATCAGTTAGATGGCCTCCAAAGTCTCTTTTATAGATTATCCTTTTCTTAAAAATGGGTCAGGAGGATTGCATGTGTCATTGTGTTGACAAATGTTGAGAAATCCTCCTGGAAGTATGTCTCTTAGCTTTTCCCTACTTCTCCCAATTTAAATACCTATCCGAATTGGGAAATTCCTTAGCTCAAATCCTAATTTTCTAATTAGACCTCTTTAAACTGATAATTCCAATTTGTGATTCTTTCTTTCTTTTTTCTTTCTTTCTTTCCTTCCTTTCCTTTCCCTCCCTCCCTCCCTTTCTCTCTCTCTCTTTCTCTCTCTCTTTCTTTCTCTCTCTCTCTCTCTTTCTTTCTCTCTTTTTTTCTCTCTCTCTTTCTTTTGTTGTTGGTCATGGGGCCTGAACTCTGGACCTAGGTGCTGTCCCTGAGCTCTTCAGCTCAAGGCAAATGCTCTACCTCTTGAGCCACAGCACCACTTCTGGTTTTCTGGTTGTTAATTGGAGACAAACATCTCACATTCTTTTCTCCTGGCTTTGAACAATGATCCTCAGATCTCAGCCTCTTAAGTAGCTAGGATTACAGGCGTGAGCCACTGGCGCTTGGCCCAATTTGTGATTCTTTTTGTACTTTCCAGCCCAAATGATAAGTACTTTCCTTCTCCAATTGATAAGGAAGGCATTGCTCCCAATTTTTTGTAACTGATCTCTCTCTCTCTCCATATAGAGATGTCTCTATATGTATATCTGTATCTCTGTATGTATATATATGTATATAGATATCTCTATCCATCTCTATGGATATATATGGATATGGATATATATCTACATAAATATTGACATATCTATATGTATGTAGTTTTAAGTAGTTGTACAAAGGGGCTTCAGCAAATCATTTTATAAGTGTAACACATCTTGATCAATGTCACCCATTCCATTGTTTTCTCCCATGACTTCCAAATTTTGAGAACTGCATTGTGTATGAATGTGAGCAGGGTTTCAGGTGCAGTTATTTCTGGGTTGGGACTGCCCCTCTGGCTAAGAAGGGACAGTCATGTGTGCTGAAATTAGATGGACAATGGGGAAAGTCCTGATGGTTTTTCTATTTTTTTTCTCCATCGTTGACTGCTATATTTGTCTGCCTGTACTTCCCAGGAGCTGCTTCAGCTGACATATCTGCCAGATCTGAAGCCCTGACCTATGCTGGCAATTCCTTTATACTGGGAATCTCTCAGCTGTGACAGTCCATCCTCTTCCAACTGACCACTTCCCTTCTATTTTCCCTTCCTTTATTTGGGGGAAGGGATAATAATTAGAATAATTATTCTAATTAGAATAATTTCTCCTGCTCTCCCTTTCTTCCAACCTCTAAACTTTTCTTCTTTGTTTGTATGTCTATCTCTCTGTGTCTGAGACAAGAGTCTTGCTATGTAGCCAAGCTGGTCTTTGACTTGAAATCTTCCTGTCTCTATATTTCCAGAGTGCTGGGATTACAGGCATGTGCCATCTCTGAAGAATTCTTGCAATGAAAATTCACATTCTGAGTTCCTGGATTAGTGTCTGGGCTTAAATCCGGTAGTTAGTGAGCCCATCTCCATTTTTATTTGCATAAATGCTTCCGCAATGGAGAACAAAGAAATAGTAGTTGTTCCTGGGGGTCCTAGGTAGAGCCTGAGCTAGAAGAGGTTTCCTCCTGTCACACGGGGTCTGGCATTCAAATTCTAGCCCCTCATTCCACAAATGTGGAAGTAGCCACTATGTGCTGTGCTGGGCCTTTAGCCTTTAGCCTGCTTTCTCCGAAGACAGAACAAGAGGAACCGAACTGGAACAGCTGCAGGCTGGGTGGAAGAGAGCTATCAGGAATGATTTCCTGGGTGCAGTTACTGGATAGTGAGAAAAGAAGTAGGGCGGTCTGCACTGAAGAGCTTTAAACTTGAAATACCCACGGGCCAATCGGGTGTCTAGCGGCACCCTAGCCTTCTAGGGTAGGCCTTGGTAATGGAGACTGGTGAGTGGGGGTGGGGTGCGGTGGGGCAGTGTGTGTGTGTGTGTGGGGGGGGAATCGGAGCTTGAAAATGCCTGCACAAACTTCCAGCGGACCCCTTCCAAGTCAGGATCACCAGTGGGTTTTGGTCTGGCTGGGGTCACAGGGACGATGCTCCTGGAGTGGGAGACGGAACGACTCTTTCCCCTCCCACCCACTCGGGACCCACACCGCCTGCCAGGCACACGTGGATGCCTGAGCCTAGGCACCTATACAGAAACTCCAAACACACACCCAAGGGACCCAGACAGCCCCCCTCCCCCGTTCCCCCCACATCAAGCCCCACGGAGTCCCGCCCGCCTCCTGCGCCGGCACTTGCA